TTCAAAAAATCTACCAAAATGTCCGCACCTTGTTTGTCTCCACCTTGACAAAATAAAATCATTTCTCATCAGCTTCATGCTTCTGTCTGCACCTCTGTCGCTGTAGAAAGCACGTTACCGGGGTCATAATAAACAGGAAAGTATGCCAGGGAGGCAATGAAGCTGACTCACTCAGAGCAGTTTCACGAGACACAAGGAAACAGGTTTTTCTGGTTTGATCTGCCTTTACAATAGTCATAATAGGGTCAATGACTGTACTGCTGTTTAAATATCAGAGTAAAACTGAAAAACTCCTGTATGGCTTCAACTTTAGAATTGCTAACAGTCGGGGGTGGGGGTGGGGGTGGGGGGAAAGGGTAGCAATATACTGACCTCTTTCTTTTTTTGAGTTTTGAGGGGATTGCTAAACAAGTGAAGAAAAAGCATTGGCTTAAAAAATTAATTGGCTTTTTTTAAAAAAATGCTATTGTTCTCAGGTGGCTAGGTAGTTTTTCATGCTGAATTCCATCCCAAGAGGTTAGTTTTATTTATTTATTTATTTAAAATATTTATATTCTGCCCTTCTCACCCCGCAGGAGACTCAGGGCAGAGCACAACATATATACGGCAAACATTCAATGCCAGGACATAAAACCAGAAATATATACAAACATTAAAATCACTTATATTCACATTAAAAGTTGCTTTAAAACCATCTCAGGATACTATTTCGCCTCATTGCACTGCCCCAAAGGCTTGGTCCCACCGCCAGGTCTTCATCCTTCTGAAGGACAGGAGGGAGGGGGCCAATCTAATATTGCCAAGAAGGGAATGCCATAATTGGGAGGCAATCACTGAGAAGGCCCTGTCTCTCATCCCCTCCAAATGCGCCTGTGTTGGTGGCGGGACTGAGAGCAGGGCCTCCCCAAAAGATCTTAGTTTCTGCAGTGGTTTGTAAAGGGAGATGCGTTCAGACAGGTAAACTGGCCTGGGGCCATTTAGGGCTTTATAGGCCAAAGCCAGCACTTTGAATTGTGCCCAGTAGCAAACAGGCAGTCAGTGGAGCTTTGAGTCCAGCCTATCTTCGATACAGCATTTCTCTCTATGAACCAGCACAGGTACTAAGATCTACCCGGGGAGGCTTTCATCTGGATCCTGCCTCCGTCTCAAGTGTGGTTGGTGGGGACGAGAGAGAGGGCCGGTGACCCCCCCCCCCCGGCTTTGGAATGCCCTCCCGAGGGAGATTCAGCTAGCCCCCACTCTCCATGCCTTCCATATACAATTGAAAACATGGCTTTTAGACAAGCCTTTGACCATGTTTATAAATTTGAGGACCCAGAGATTATGTCACCTTTATGAAACTGATATTGATTGCAGTTTGTTTTGTTCTGCAACTATTGCTGCATTTTACTGATCTTAACTGGGGGGGGGGGGCGGGGGTTGGGTTATGATGTTTATGTTGTTATAACTTCTGTGTTATTGTCTTTCTACTTTTTGTATTTTGCGTGTTTGCACCTTGAGTGCTTGTGAGCCATCCCGAGTCCTTCCTGGAGATGATGATGTGGTATAAATAACATTATTATTATTATTATTATTATTATTATTATTATTATTATTATTATTATTATTATGACACAACACAGAGTATGACACAGCAAACAAGATATATATGCTATTATTATTATTATTATTATTATTATTATTATTATTATTATTATTATTATTATCGTGCACCTCTTTTTTTGCAAGGGTTTTGCCAGGAAGTACAATAGCTATCAGATGGCATCGGGGTTTAGATTTGAGCCCTGATCCAAACAGCCAGTGATTGGCCAGTGCCGTGTGTCACCAAAGCTGTCCGTCTGTACCACCCTCTTAGGAAGCGCCTTCCTTTTCCCTCCCCAGCCTCTACGTAAATATGACGGGAAACTTATATTCTTGCCTGACTAAGCAGGCACACGCCTCACCTGATCTGTTGTGCTCACTGTGGCCAGATACATTCTGTTTCTGTTTTAGTTACAACAATTGGCCTACATACTGTTGGTTAATTCCATCTAACGTAGACATGGAATCAATTTTTGAACAATGAATCTACTCTTTAGAAAATCTGAATCACTGTAGCTGGAACTAAAAAAACAAAAAAAACACACAATGAAATTATTTATATTTATCCTTCTAAATAAGCCTGTCTTCCTTATTTGATGTCAGATTTCTCCCTTTTGTTTGTCTAAGGTACATGTGCATCAGAGTGACAGCAGTCCTGAGCTGCAGCTTTATTTCTTACCCTGAAATTCAAAAAGAAGGAATTAAAGTGATATATAGAGCTAATGACCCATGTTGGGTGCTGGTCCTCTTCTCGTTGCTAAATTCCTGAGATTGCTTTTATTTGCTTGCTTGGATAAAATCCTTTTGATCTTTTTGGTGAGAAAGGACTATCGCAACATCTGCACCACTTGTGCCTCTTGAAATCCCTTGCTCCCTTTGAGTTTAGCTGTAATTTCCCCAGTTTCTGGAGGAGAAATCCATCTTTCTGACAAAAAGACTTTGTGTTAGGACAATTTATAATGCTGATTGTATTAGTTAGATGCATCTCTTGTTTTCAAGACCCATTGGCTTTGCAAAAGACCAGTTCCTATAATGTTTTGAGATCAATTGGATTGTATTTTTGGAATCTCTCTGGGAGAGATTCCAAAATGTTTTACTTGCATCACCATCCAAATGACTGGTTGAATAATTCCTTCTCCTGCCTCCTGCAGCTGGTCAAGTGTGAGGTTCCTCTCTCTACCTATGGGGCCACCCATTGCTGTTATAACAGATATTGTCAGCCCCTCTTCTTTTTTCTGTCCATCTTTGTTTTTATTCTTGGGTTGTCGTAAATGTGGAAATCCTCCCTCTCCAGATCTACCCAGTGGTTGAACATCAGCACAGCTAGTAAAGGAGTTGGCAAGCACAAATATCAAAAATCAAAAGTGTACTACTACTACTTGATCAGAAGAAAACTTTCTCCCATTTGTTCCTTTAATCTGGAGCAAGAAGTATTTCCTTTCTAGGAGGTTAACTGGACTAGGTCTTCCCATGATCCTTTAAGTGCTTCTTATCTGTGGACCTCCAGGTGCTTGGGCGTCCAACACCAACTTGTTCAATGGTCAGGAATCCTGGGAACTGAAGTGCAAAACACCTGGAGGGGCACAGGTTGAAGAGGCCTGTTTTAGACCCTGGGTGGAAGTCATGGAGCCCTCTAAATTCTGGACTACACCTCCCAGGATTGCTTTCTATGCTGGCCAGGAATCCTGGAGTTTGAAGTTGGAAGGCTGTATGTACTGTAGGGTTGTGCATTCGGGGTAAACCCTGATCTGTTTCATGTACCAGCTTTTGGTGGGTGCCCCGACCAATTTTTTGAGACATTTGACGGGTAAAAGAAAAAGATGAGGTGTGGAGGTTCCTTGAAGTTCTATGCTATCAGGAGGGCACCACCAATTGTTATGCTACATTTCACCCTAGCAATCCTAATTCCACCCCTTTTAAACATGGGAAAGAAGGAACTGGTGAGTCAGATTTTATCATCTCCCCTTTTCTCTTTCTCATGTGTGCTTAGAATGGGTTTCAGGGAGCAGCTATTGTTTACCTTGCCTGTTATAGGTAGGATTGGCTAGAATAAAATCCCACTTAAACTTTATTTCATTGTTTGTTGCAGGTAGCCTGCTGCAACCTGACACCTAGTATGTGTTTCTCTGACCATCTTTTGCTCTCCTTTCAATAACTCTGCAACTAAAAATCCTCCAACTATCAAGATGTCAAGAGTTTTGTAGAAGTGAATTTTTGTCACAAGCATTGTAGAGATATGCCTATATTATTATTATTATTATTATTATTTTGCAAGAGGAAATATACGTGTCCACAGGGTCCAATTCCACATAAATTATACTCAAGTTTTATCTCCTTTCTTTTTGTGAACACAACTGTATTAAGTTAGTGAGGCGACCCTACAAAAAAAGTGGAACTACAAAGAGTGCAGTCTGACACCACTTTTAACTGCCATGGCTCAATGCTATAGAATCATGAGAGCTGTCGTTTTGCGAGGCACCAGCACTCTTGCAGAGAGGGATAAAACCCTTGTGAAACTATAACTCCCGTTACTCTATAACATTGAGCCCTGGCAGTTAAACTGATGTTGAACTGCATTCACTCTACAGAGATGCATCCTAAGACATTTGCCAGTCCTCTTCTCGCCACAGCTTCCTCCTCAGTTTCGATTTCTCTTTCTGTAACTCTGCAGTTCCCCAGAAACCCAAATTGTGCCAGTTTCGCTTCATCATAGGCTGCATTGACATTGCAGAATCAATGCAACGTTCTACTCTTTTAACTGCCCAGGCTTCATGGGAGTTACAGCTTATAAAAAGCAAAGCTTTTCAAGGTTTTTAACTCAGAAAACTACAGATCCCAGGATTGCATAGCCTTGAGCTGTGGCAGTTGAAAGGGGATCAAATTACGCTGACTCTACAGTGTCAGTTCAACATATGATGAAATGAAAGTAGCTTTAGATCAGGAAGGGAGGGCAGAGCAGGGCGACAAAGGCAGCAACAAAATGATGCAATAGAGGGTTTCCTGCCCATTTCCTCCCAAAAAACCCAAGTTACCTCAGAGAGAAAGGGGAAGGTATAATGTTGGGCCCGAGGGAGCTGCAGCCAAACAAGCTGATGAGCCTCACCAGTTACTGGATTTTATGTTATGTATCTGTCTCGCAGACTGGGGATTGTGTGTGCGTTCTTCCGGATTTTTGTATTTATATAACTGGTGTGTGTGTGTGCATGCGCACGCGTACACACACATGTTCTGGTTTCATGTACAAAAGTACCTTCAGCTATCAAGATGAGAAGGGGAAAGGGAGGAGAATTGGTGGGTTGTGTCTGTCAGAAACATTGTTGAAATATGCTTATACATATTATCTTTTTTTTTTGCAAGAGAAAATGCGCATATCTCCACGTCGTCCAATAAATTATACTCCAGAGTTTTATCTCTTTTCTTTTTGTGAACACATCAACTTTATTAACTTAGTGAGGTGGCACTACAAAAAAAAGCAAAATGACACACAACACATGTAAGACAAATACACAATGTATGGCAATCCTTGTAAAAAGCAACATAAGAAATCTGTTTCTGAACAGCATGCACACAAACTGGAACTTTTATGGCAATGGCCCTTAAACACTTTGAACAAGTTTCTGATGTAAACAATCTTCCTGACATAAACACGTACACCTGGCAAAACAACATACTGTGTCCTACCCCAACATCCATGCATTATACAGTGAAAAAATAATAATAACCATTAACAAATGGAAATATAAATAAACATAACAGTATTTGCTTCAAATGACACTTTCTAATTCCACAGGTATTGTTTTGTCTAAACATGTTGGCCAGAATTTGGCAATGTGCCGTTGAAAAAAAACCAATGCCAGCATGTCAAATACTTTGCAATGATGGTTCAGGTAACCAAAATGATGTAGGAACACAAGGGCTCACTTCTTGGTGACTTCAACATGTTTGGTTATTTAGCCTTGTGAATGCAAAATTTGGCTGGCTTTAAAATATAGTTGCATTAACTTTTGCATTTCAGTTGACAGGAAAAAAAATTGTGCTTTAGCCAATCAATTAAGATTAATGTACCTTCTGTCAGACAGAAAATACATTTAAGACTTCCATAGAATAAATATTGACGTTTATTTAAATTGAAAATCTTTATTAGACACTTTGTTCTGAATAATAAGAACAAAGTATCTAATAGTTGCATTTGAATGCGGTCTGCTGGTATGTTTTTTATAACCAGAACAATTAACGGAAAACCCATGTGCAAAAGAGAACCTAATGCTAACTAGTGGCTTGAATGCCAGTGTAAATCCTCTCCAGGTTTCACCACCTTGGATATCTCTTTAAAGTTCAGACTGAAACCCAGAGCAGAGTCACTGCCCAAACGATATAGAAGACACCAGCCATCCCTTGTCTGTGCTTCTGATCACAACCTGTTTTCTAGACTGGTTACTTCATCACACTAGAGAATGAATCCACTTTAATTCGGGTTGCTGCCCCCTGCAGAATTCTGGAGTTTGTAGTTGAGTGAGGCTGTTAAAGGCTCCTACCTAAACTACAAACCTCAGAATTCTGAAGGAGGCAGCAACCCGAATTAAAGTGGATTTATTCCCTAGTGTGATGATGTAACCAGTGGGACAAAGTTCCCTGTTTTAAATCTTCCTCTTTGCAAAGGGACAGTAACATTCCATCCTGCTGAAATACTTTGAAAAACACAGCTGTTCTCCTAGTGTAAAAAAAAGGAATATAGTTTTCCTTCGAGAGACTGTAACTTTTGACTTGCTCCCTTCTCTCTAAAACCTACGCCAATTCAGCTACTTGTAACACTGCTATCTGTTATATATGTATATGAATCATTTTGATATCTGATACCAATACTGAACAATTCATTTTGTAACGCTCAGAATGCTTTGAGCAAGAGAGCATCCTTTGACATCACTTTGTAGACTGATCTGATGCAGACTTTCCTGAATGCTTTGAACATTCACCTGGAATATTTTAATGGTGGTTTATCATCTGAGAATAAACCATTACAGTACAATGTAACTTCCTACCCATATGGCATATATGTTGGTACTATAGGTGTAGCCTCACCCCTGACATTTAATGCCATTGCAGATTAATGCATTTAACTTGTAGCAACATCCAGTCATTCAATAAAACCATCTAACAACCAAACCATTCCTTGTTCCAAATGTTAAATATTAGGCAAGGTGGAGGAACTGATTTTCATTCTAACAGTAGTCTATAGTAAACTGTTTTTTCGCTGTTTGCTATGCATGAAATTCCATAAAGCTTCCAAGTGGCACAGCAGCTGAGTGCGTGGATTCCAGAACTCCAGCAATGAGAACGCTGAACCAAGGATGATCACCACTCCCAGATTCCTTCATTTTCCATTGCTCTTCACAGTTCACCACCATTGGTAAACAGCAAATTCCAGTTATCTCCATTCATTAGCAAACTTTCTGAAGGATTATCTGAAGAAATTATGTATCAGGAGCCTTCCTTGGCAACAGGAAACAGGCAGTGGAAAGGCCCAGGAAGCATTCCACTTCTAACATCTTGCAGAATATGTAAAAATCAGATCTTCACAAAGATTCATTTCTCTCTCTCCTTCTTCCTCATTTTCCTTTCCTTTCATTCACTCTCCTCTTCCCGGACAGAAAATCTTGGAAATCATATTTAGGATCATCTGCCGGAGGTTCCACTTGTCTCCGATCATTCTCAGTTGCAATGCACATTCTGCCACCACCTCGGATTCTGTGTACAACACAAATAGAAACACACAATTGGTCATTGATATCAAGAACTAGAGCTATGTAATTTTATAGATTTGTTTCACAATCTGCCTGTATCCTATGGCTGCTTACCACAAATTGAAATAAAGTACGGCTAAAAAAGAGCCAAAGTGCTATAGCCATTTGAGTGTCGGACTGCGACTCCGGAGACTAAGGTTTGAATCCCTGCTCAGCCATGCACTCTCTCGGCCTCAGAAGAAGGCTAAGGCAAGCCCCTTCTGTAGAAATCTTACCAAGGAACCACTCTGATAGGTTTTCTTTAAGGTTGCTATAAGTCAGAAGGCACTCAACAAGAAACAGCTAAAATATAGGCCATGACTCTCTAGACCAGGCATAGGCAAACTCCAGGTGTTTTGGACTTCAACTCCCACCATTCCTAACAGCTAGTGGGAGTTTTTTTTCTGTGTCAGGAGCAACTTGAGAAACTGCAAGTCGCTTCTGGTGCGAGAGAATTGGCCGTCTGCAAGGATGCTGCCCAGGGGACGCCCGGATGAATTGATGTTTTTATCATCCTTGTGGGAGGCTTCTCTCATGTCCCCGCAAGCTGGAGCTGAAGTCCAAAATACCTGGAGGGCCAAAGTTTGCCCGTGCCTGTTTTCAAATAAAAACAGAACATTGTTGTTGTTCATTCGTTCAGTCATCTCCGACTCTTCGTGACCTCATGGACCAGCCTACGCCAGAGCTCCCTGTCGGCCGTTACCACCCCCAGCTCCCTCAAGGTCAGTCCAGTCACTTCAAGGATGCCATCCATCCATCTTGCCCTTGGTCGGCCCCTCTTCCTTTTGCCTTCTACTTTCCCCAGCATAATTGTCTTCTCTAGGCTTTCCTGTCTCCTCATGATGTGGCCAAAGTACTTCAACTTTGTCTCTAGTATCTTTCCCTCCAGTGAGCAGTCGGGCTTTATTTCCTGGAGGATGGACTGGTTGGATCTTCTCGCAGTCCAAGGCACTCTCAGCACTTTCCTCCAACACCACAGCTCAAAAGCATCGATCTTCCTCTGCTCAGCCTTCCCTAAGGTCCAGCTCTCACATCCGTAGGTTACGACAGGGAATACCAATGGCTTTGACTAGGCGGATCTTTGTTGCCAGTCTGATGTCTCTACTCTTCACTATTTTATCGAGACTGGACATTGCTCTCCTCCCAAGAAGTAAGCGTCTTCTGATTTCCAGAACAGAACATACAGAACACAATTTTTCTTCATGCCAGGAGCAACTTGAGAAACTGCAAGTTGCTTCTGGTATGAGAGAATTAGCTATCTGCAAGGACGTTACCCAGGTGATGCCTGGATTTTTTTAAAAAAGTTTTACCATCCTTGTGGAAGGCTTCTTTCATGTCCCCGCATGGGGAGCTGGAGCTGACAGAGGGAGCTCATCCACGCTCTCCCTGGATTCGAACCTTCGACCGGTCGGTCTTCAGTCCTGTCGGCACAAAGGTTTAACTCATTGTGCCACTGAGAGCTCCACTGAACACAATAAAATCACCTGATTTTCATCTTGCTTAAAATGTCAACCTATGTCCCTACATGCAAATGGCATTTCTGTTAAGGTGGGCGACTGAATTTGTTTCAATGGATCTTATGGAGACTTTTTTCAGACTATCACTCCCAGAATCCAACAACCACCTAAGATGATCAAGGATCTAGGCCCTATGTTTTTAATCGGTTTTAATTGTATTGATATGCTTTTATCTGTTTTTATTGCTCTATTTGTTTATGTGTTGTTGATATTTGTAATGTGGCACTGAATTTTGCCAAATCTTTAAGATGCTCGGGATAGGAAGAGCAGGATAGAAATATAGTAAGTAAATAAATAAATAAGGATTCTGAACTCCCCCCTCCACAGTTTGAAAGAAAAGGGCTTCACAAACTGCTTCTTCCATTGATGTGAGAAAAACCCCTTTCCAACAAAGCTGCGGAAATCCCCCAAAGCTGCCTCCTAGGAGTTTTTCCAACAGAGACAAACTGAATCCATCCCGACAGACACATCCAATGGATGGCATTCACCTACTGGGATGAAGTTTGTATCTGATCATTGTGATAGCCTAACACAACAACAACAACAACAACATTTTATTTAAATCTGTTCCGAGGGGACTCGGAGCAGCTTACAACAATGTGAATAATAAAACATAAACAATAATAAAGCAAATAACCAATTCAACAAAAATGATCGACAAATCAATAAAAGTGAACCAAAACATATTAAATTAGCATATATCATCCATAAATAAACAGGGATTATACACACACACACACACACACACACACCTCAGCCACTGCTCTGGTTGATGGAACCAATAAAGTCCAGTTAAGAAATTTAATTCTATTTAAATAATCTAATGAGATGTCTGATCTTCATCTACAAGATCTGAACACCAACAAAAGGGACACAAAATTGACCTAAATTGGGTTGTTATCTATAATTTCAGAATGTGAAAAAAGGGAAAGGAGCAGGGGAAGGAGAAATGATGGAGAGGAGAAGAAAAGCAGTGATGGGAAGGAGACAAAGAGGAAGCAGACTTGGTTGAAAAGATAAAAGGGATCCCGTTAATTGCTGCTGTTGCGTGCCATTTGTTTCAGGCTAAATGGAAACCATTTACCAGCTGCATGCGCCAGAGCAACAACAGATTGAGGCCCCATCTACATTGCCATATAAAATCCAGATTATCTGCTTTGAGCTGATTATATGGCAGTGTAGACTCAGGGCCCTTCTACACTGCTATATACTGGTAATTTATTTATTTATTTACAGCATTTGTAGCCCAGATTATCTGATTTGAGCTGGATTAAATGACAGTGTAGACTCAGGGCCCTTCCACACAGTCATATAAACCAGAATATCAAGGAAGATAATCGTCAATATCTGCTTTGAACAAGGTTATATGAGTCCACACTCATATAACCCCTCTACACAAATGAATAAAATCCCTGATTATCTGCTTTGAACTGGGATATATGGCAGTGTGGACTCAGATAACCCAGTTCAAAGCAGATATTGTGGGTTATTCTGCCTCTATATTCTGGGTTATATGGCTGTGTGGAGGGCCCTGAGGCCCAATGTACACTCTTGTATAAAATCTAGATTATCTGCTTTGAACTGGATTATATGGTAGTGTAGACTCAGGCCTCTTCTACCCTGCCGTATAATCCAGGTTATCAAAGCGGATAATCCACATTATCTACTTTGAACTGGATTATATGAGTCTACACTGGCATATAATCCAGTTCAAAGCAGATAATCTGGATTTTATATGCTAGGATAGAAGGGGCCTCTTTTAATCCAGTTCAAAACAGATAATGTGGATCATCTGCGTTGATAGTCTGGATTATATGGCAGTGCAGACCCAGCCTTAAACTATCTCTAGAGAAGGTAAGATTTTGGATAAATGACTAGGAGAAGATAGGGCTATTGGGTTGCTTTGCGTTTTCCAGGCTGTATGGCCATGTTCCAGAAGCATTCTCTCCTTGAGTTTCACCCACATCTATGGCAGGCATCCTCAGGAGTTGTGAGGGCTATTATTAAGGAAATTAGACAATGGAATAGTGGATATATGAGGAGAAAAATTGAGCATCAGACATGGGTCAAGTCAGGTCATTTCTGCATTTCTGCCCTTATGAAGGTGTTGTCTTGGCATGATTTATTTATTGCCTTTCTCCTTGGCGGAGAGAGTATGACTCATCCACAACTCCACGTGAGAACAACAACAACAACAACAACAACAACAACAACAGCTAGAGAATTGTTGAAGAGAGACCCCCTGTGCAGTGGGCGAGCTCAGGACAAACACCAGAGATGGGCAAAGTTTTAACAAAGGCTTTAATGGCCGGAATTGCTGGGTTGTTGTGTGTTTTCTGGGTTGTATGGCCATGTTCCAGAAGCATTCTCTCCTGACGTTTCACCTACATCTATGGCAGACTTCTCGGGGGTTACGAGGGCTATTATTAAGGAAATTAGGCAATGGAATAGAGGATAGCCATCCCAAGTCCCCTTTGCGAAGATGGTGGTGGGGTATAAATAATAATAATAATAATAATAATAATAAGTCCTCATGTTGGCCGTCCCAAGTCCCCTTTGGGGAGATGGTGATGTAGTATAAATAATAACATCAATAATAATAACAATAATAATTAGGCCTCATGTTAGCCATCCCAAGTCCCCTTTGGGGAGATGGTATGTATTATTATTATTATTATTTTTACTGACACAAAAGCACAGCATGTCACAGCAGTTGAGATCTCTATGCTGGATTTCATATCACAGAATTGCAAGTCGAATCCTTCCCAAGCATCTAGGACTGTGTGATTATTATTATTATTATTACTATTATTATTATTATTCTATTGACACAAAAACACAGCATGTAGCCATCCCAAGTCCCCTTTGGGGAGATGATGGTGGGGTATTAATAATAATAATAATAATAATAATAATAATAATAATAATTATTATTATTATTATTAGGCCTCATGTTAGCCATCCCAAGTCCCCTTTGGGAAGATAGTGGTGGGGTATAAATAAATAAATAAATAAATAAATAAATAAATAGGCCTCATGTTAGTTGTCCCAAGTGCCCTTTGGGGAGATGGTGATGGGTTATAAATAATAATAATAATAATTATTATTATTATTATTATTATTGACACAAAAGCACATTATGTCACAGCAAACGAGATCTATATGCTCAATTTCGTATCACAAAATCACAAGTCGAACACTTCCCAAGCATCTAGGACTGTGTATTATTATTATTATTATTATTATTATTAGGACTTATGTTAGCCGTTCCAAGTCCCCTTTGAGGAGATGTTGGTGGGTATAAATAAATAAATAAATAAATATTATTATTATTATTATTAGGACTTACGTTAGCCGTTCCAAGTCCCCTTTGGGGAGATGTTGCTGGGGTATAAATAAATAAATATATTATTATTATTAGGACTTATGTTATGTTCCAAGTCCCCTTTGGGGAGATGTTGGTGGGGTATAAATAAATAAATATACTATTATTATTATTATTATTAGGACTTATGTTATGTTCCAAGTCCCCTTTGGGGAGATGGTGGTGGGGTATAAATTATTATTATTATTGTTATTATTATTAGGACTTATGTTAGCTGTTCCAAGTCCCCTTTGGGGAGATGGTGGTGGGGTATAATTAATTAATTAATTAATTAATTAATTATTATTATTACTATTACTACAACTATTATTATTATACAGCCCGGAAAACTCACAGCAACCCAACAGTCAGAGAATTGTAGAAGAGAGAGACCTCAGTGCAGTGGGAGAGCTCAGGACAAGCAGCAGAGATGGGGAAATAGGGGAGAAGGCTCCTTTGCCCTTCTAGGGGACCGACTAGATGACTTCTGGGGATCCCCTTCTGTGTTTGCGAGGCTCCACTAACCCCAGAACCTATTGAGTCGATGCCCCAGAAGGGTAGGGAAGCCCTCTCCCCAATCCCCCCAATCCCAGGAGTTCCCCTTTTGGACCTTCCCCAAGGACAGCAACAACAACATCCCCCGAAGGGAATCCAGGGAGGAGGGGAGTTTCGCCCTTACCTGTCCGCGTGGAGGAGGCGGAGGTAGGGAGCGCGCCTTTGCGCAGAGTTTTTCCCGGCATCATTTCGCTTTGGTCCCTCCTGTGGGTCCTGGTCTGCCGCCGGCTTCGAGAAGAAGGAGGAGGAATGGCTGGTCTCCTTTGGCTCCTCTGGCCCAGCTCTGCTTCTTTCTCGCTCGCCTTCCCAACTCGTTTTGCCCGCTTCTCTGCCGGGCGCGCCAAGGCAAAGCAAGTGCCGGGGGATTTCCCAGTGACGTCAACGAGGAATCCCCGCCCCCTCGGGTGGCCCGCCGCCCAATCAGAAGCCGGGTTCTCCTGGGCAAGTGGGGGCAAGTTGCCGGCCGGCTGGAGGAGGAGGAGGAGACATGAAAATCCCCAGCTGATCCAATCCATCCATACACTGCAGAATGAATGTACCAGGGTTGAATGAAAAGTAATGCCTCCACCTTGGGCTTGGATGGGAATATTGTAATAAATCAAACGCAGAAATAATCCTTAGACAGAGGCAATTTTCAATTTTCTAGGTAATTTTCAACGGTAAGCAAACAGTATTTTGGCGCTCCCCCCCCCCCCCAATCATTGATATATATTTTCTGTTCGTCGTGGGAGTTCTGTGTGCCATTTTTGGTTCAATTCCATCATTGGTGGAGTTCAGAATGCTCTTTGATTGTAGGTGAACTATACATCAGAGTAACTACAACTCGTATATTTATTTATCGTGTCACCAGCAACTATACCATTGTCAAGTCGTCTCTGGTTGCTTCTGGATCGAGAGAATCGGCTGTCTACGAAGACGTTGCCCAGGGGACGCCCGGATGTCTTGCAATCCTGCGAGGAGGCTTCTCTCATGTCCCCCACTCTTTGATTGTAGGTGAACAATACATCCCAGTAACTACACTTGCCACACTTGCTCCCTTGCCTGGCCTGCTTTGGGTCCGGAGGCGTGCCTGAAGACCCCGGCGTGTGCACCAAAAGTCACCTCTTCTCCTGACTTTCTCCTCAGCCATTGGGACCGAGAGAGAGAGAGAGAGAGAGAGAGGTGGAGATGTCACCTTTCCTGAAGGTAGGCGCAAAAACAAAGGAGGGAGCGGAGGTGGGAGATACCTCCAGCCGGAGGGTCTCTCTCTCTCTCTCTCTCTCTTGGTCCCAATGGCTGAAGAGAAAGTCAGGAGAAGAGGCGACTTTTGGTGTGCACGCTGGGGTCTTCAGACACGCCTCCGGACCCAAAGCGGGCCAGGCGCGGCGGCTCTGCCCCTTGGCCCACCTGTGGATTGGGGAGAGGAGAGGAGGCGGGTGGAGCACCGGGGGATCGGGAAAGGGAGCCGGTCATGGGGAAGGGATCGAACGCAGAGAACGATTGAGTGCCGGCTCTGCTCGCGCACCCGGTGGCCGGGTGGAGCAGGAACGAGAGGGGCTAGGCAAGGCTCAAGGACCCAGCTCCTTTGGGAAGAGGATCGCCCGGCAGCAAGGCAAGAAAGCCGAGGCTCCCCCTGGACTGCTAGGGCTGTTGTGAGCTGAGGGGGCGCTCCTCAAGTGGCGGTTGAGGGGCATTTACAGAGGCGCCTTTGCGCACCTGGCAAAAAAAGTGTTCTGCGACCGCTTACTTCGCATAATGGACGAGCCGCCCCTGTCCTTAGAATGTGCTCTTTAACTAACGTCAGGAGAGAATGCTTCTGGAACATGAATATACATCCCGGAAAACCCACACAACCCTGAATGTTTTTGTTTGTTGGAGGACCAGCACTCCTTGGCAGAGAAGACTAATCTCTGGAAAACCACAACTCCCATGATAGAAATGATGTAGATTGACACCCCTTGAACTGCTATAGCTCAATGCTGTTAAGAGCATTGAGCTATTTAGAGCTATATTTTGGTGAGTCGCCAGCACTTTTTGGCAAAGAAGACTATAAAGACCTTGTAAAACTACAAATCCCATGATAACACAGCATTGGGGGTGCATTTACATCAGGCACGGGCAAAGGTGGGCCTTCCAGCTGTTAGGAATTGTGGGAGTTGAAGTCCAAAACACCTGGAGGGCCAGATTTTGTCCATGCCTAATCTACACCGACCCCTCTGAAACTCCCTCATGACCCCCCTCCCCTCCAGGGGTCCCAACCCCCAGGTTGAGAAGTGCTGTTCTTCAATGATGCATCCTGGGAGATTTGCCAGCCCTCTTCTCCCTCCTCAACTTCCTTCCCATTTTCGATTTCTTTTTCTGTAACTCTGCAATGCTCAGAAACCCAAATTGTGCTTCCCAAAATCCAAATTACTTTCATCATAAGCCATGCTGGCATCGTAGAATCAATGCAGTTTGATACTCATTTAATTGCTCTGGCTGTATGGGAGTTACAGCTTTCAGGGGTTTTAATCTCTGTCCAAGAGTGCTGGCACCTCAGGAAACTACAGATCCCAAGATTCCATAGCCTTGAGCCATGGCAATTGGAAGGAGCTCAAACTACATTGATTCTACAGCAGTGTTTCCCAACCTGGGGGGGTCGGAACCCCAGGGGGGGTTGCGAGAGGGTGTCAGAGGGGTCACCAAAGACCATCAGAAAACACAGTATTTTCTGTTGATCATGGAGGTTCTGTGTGGGGAGTTTGGCCCAATTCAATCGTTGGTAGTGTTCAGAATGCTCTTTGACTGTAGGTGAACTATAAATCCCAGCAACTATAACTCCCAAATGTCAATGTCTATTTTCCCCAAACTCCATCAGTGTTCACATTTGGGCATATTGCGAATTCATGCCAAGTTTGGTCCAGATCCATCATTGTTTGAGTCCACAGTGCTCTCTGAATGTAGGTGAACTACAATTCCAAAACTCAAGGTCAATGCCCAACAAACCCTTCCAGAATTTTCTGTTGGTCATGGGAGTTCTGTGTGCCAAGTTTGACTCAATTCCATTGCTGATAGAGTTCAGAATGCTCTTTGATTGTAGGTGGACTATGAATCCCAGCAACTACAACTCCCAAATGTCAAGGTCTATTTTCCCAAACTCCATCAATATTCACATTTGGGCATATTGCGAATTCATGCCAAGTTTGGTCCAGACCTATCATTGTTTGAGTTCACAGTGCTCTCTGGATGTAGATGAACTACAACTCCAAAACGCAAGGTCAGTGCCCACCAGACCCTTCCAGTATTTTCTATTGGTCATAGGATTTCTGTGTGCCAAGTTTGACTCAATTCCATTGCTGGTAGAGTTCAGAATGCTCTTTGATTGTAGGTGGACTATAAATCCCAGCAACTACAACTCCCATATGACAAAATCAATCCCTCCCCAACCCCACCAGTATTAAAATTTGGGCGCATTGGATATTTGTGCCAAATTTGGTCCAGTGAATGAAAATACATCCTGCATACCAGATATTTACATTACGATTCATAACAACAGCAAAACGACAGTTATGAATTAGCAACAAAAATAATTTTATGGTTGGGGGGTTACCATAACACGAGGAAGTGTATGAAGAGATTGTGGCATTAAGAAGGTTGAGCACCACCGTTCTACAGTGCCACTTTTCCCTATGATGAAACGAAAGTAGCTTTAGATCAGGAAGCCACAAAGGAAGCCACAAAAGGATGCAATGGAGGGCTTCTTGCCCTCTTCCTCCCATAGTACCAAGTGAGAAAGGGGAAGGTATGATGTTGGGTCCAAGGGAGCTGCAGCCAAATCAGTTACTGGATTTATGTTATGCAGAACATATCCCATCTGTCTCACAGACTGGGGATTGTGTGGTGATTCTTCCTGGCTTGTGTATTTATATAGCTGGTCTATATATACACACAAGTTCCGGCTTCCTGTACAAAAGTTCCTCATTGGACAGCAAAACATATGTTGTGCACTGTATGAGCACTCGGGACTTTGGTTTAGCTTTACAAACGGGGCGTGTGCTTTGCGTGCATGTAAAAAAAGCATGAATTGGTGCCAAGGGCTTTCTCCTTATTTGCGAAGTGAGCTGCCGGATTTGATTTTCTGAACTCCCCCAGTGCCTTGTTCATCAAGACAATCTCTAGTTGTACAAAACTCTCAAGGAAACTTCAAAAATGAAGGCATTTATGAGGAATGCTGGAGGCTGTCGGACTGGAGTGAGACGACTGGACTATATTCAGTTGCTCCTCTATTAATTGTGCCTTTGGTTGCTGATTCATTTCTTGGTTCAGGCTGCATTTACACTGTAGAATTAATGCAGTTGGACACCACTTTAACTCCCAGAACTAAGTGCTATGAAATTATAGTATTTAGCCTTCCTTGCTAAAGAATTCTGGTGCCTAAGCAAACTAATATCACACGGTTCCATAGCATTAAGCCATGGCAACTAAAGTGGTGTTAAATTACATTCATTCTACAGTGTAGGCACATCCCTACTCCAAGCTATCAGGTTCTTTTATCCTCTTCTGCTTTATTTACAATATGTCTTCACTTAGGGAGAAAATTCAAGATGAGGTTTTTGTTCTTTAAATTTCCATAAGCCATTCATTCATTGGCTTGTTGTAGTTTTTTTTGGGCTATATGGCCATGTTCTAGAGGCATTCTCTCCTGACGTTTCACCTGCATCTATGGTAAGCATCCTCAGAGGTAGTGAGAATGCTACCTCTTGAGGATGCTTGCCTTAGATGCAGGTGAAACGTCAGGAGAGAATGCCTCTAGAACATGGCCATATAGCCCAAAAAAACCTACAACAACCCAGTGATTCCGGCCATGAAAGCCTTCAACAATACATTCATTCATTTATTCATTTATTGCATCCTGGTAGTGATACACACTGGCATAGATCTCCATATTATCTTCTTGGTTCTGTTCAACATCTTATTAATGACTTAGATGAAGGGTTAGAAGGTATGATCACCAAGTTTGCAGATGACACCAAATTGGGAGGGACAGCCAATACTCCAGAAGGCAGGAGCAGAATTCAAAATGATCTTCACAGATTAGAGAGATGATTGGCCAAAACTAACAAAAAGAATTTCAATAGGGACAAATGCAAGATATTCCACTTAGGCAGAAAAAATGAAATGCAAAGATACAGAATGGGGGACGCCTGGCTTGAGAGCAGTACATGTGAAAAAGTTATTGGGGTCATTGTGAACAAGTTAAACATGAGCCAACGATGTCATGCGGTGGCAAAAAAAGCCAATGGGAGTTTGGCCTACATAAATAGGAGTATAGTGTCTATATCCAGGGAAGTCATGCTACCCCTCTAT